TTAATGCCACTGCTAAGATATCCAAGGTTTTACTAAAACTTACTAACTTACCGTAGTGGTTACTGCAGCGTATTGATAGTCAGGTCATGCACAAATAGACAAAATAATAAAATTCTGATTGTTCTACCCCACCAGATCTTGCAAATCTACTTTTGAAAAGACTACAAGTGTTTTATTAGCCCCACTTCTTCTAACATCATGTTACTGTAAAATTACACTACAACACTGAACTACTTTCACACAGATCTTGTAAGATAAAGCTATGAGTGACCAAATAATATATAGCTCTGTTTTCTGCACGTCTGAACCTCTCCGTCATGTTTTATTTACAGCTAACATGCAAGTAAGTTGTAACCTGCACACATCTAGCTTTCACAGCTAGATATTGAATGAAACTTCATCTGAAAACCAACTGAGGAAGACAACAGTCAAGGACCACTCTGGGGCAACTGAAATCAAGATATTTATAAAGCAGTTAAGGGGCAAAAACCAAAAAACCCTCAAAATATTCCCAGTTCAAAAAAGTCTTTGAACAGTTGCTGGAGAAGCAAATACTGTGCCGGACGCACACCCTATCTCCCCTGTTACACAACAGACACTGACAAAGCAATCAAACTAACCCAAAAGCTAAACTGTCCTTCCTCCAGAGGAAAAAAAAATATAAAAAGATACAAGTATCTATTTTAAAAAACACATACATCCATCAAAACCAAAGCTAAATGAACACTCTGATTTTAGGAAAACTTGTCTATCTATCCGTTAAAATAACAACCTACACAAACAAATCAATATTAAAGCATCTATTGATACTTCTCTGTTCACTATTGAAAAGGAAAAGGGGTGGGGAAGAGGAAAAACCCTAGATGAACTGTTTTATTTACTTCTTGCATAAAACCCCAAAAGCCGAGGATCTACTCAAAGGTAATTTTAGCAATCGCCACAGGCTGCATCTCCAAGTTAAGGATAATTTTACCAACTGCCACGAACTACACCTACTAACTCCAATTTCTCTTAACAAGCAAAATTATCCAAGGAGTAAGAGATACTGGTCTTTTGTGCAGGACTCTACACAATGAATTAACTGTAGACATTGGATCCTCCTGCTAACAATCCTCTGGATGTTCTTGTTACAGAATTAAGAGTACCTTGTTCCAATTTATCTTAATCCACTTAATCCATTTGGAGTGAGACACAGTGATACCACAAGAGCTAGATGGAACTGATACTCAATTCTGAAATTGCAATCCAAGACCCAATCATCTGGATTTAGATTACAGCCTGCTTCATTGTCTGAATGGACAGTTCTTTGGCTGTTTGAAGATGTCTGGTGTTCCTAGTCTGAAGGCTTCCTAGTCCAAGGAAACACATCTTTTACATTTACCAACAAATTCCTGCCCTTCTGCCTAAAATCTTCAAGGCTTCTAAAATCTCACATGGGGTGCATCTAATACACTGACAAAACTTAAGATACTTTGTAAGGCCCAGGTCATTCACCAATTACGCTTCACAGGAGATCTACCAGGATAAGAAACACTAGTAATGTGTTCTGTGTGAACCTGGCATTACACTTACCCAGCAAACAGGAGGCTCAGATTCCACACCCTCTGGCTGGAACCAGCCACAGCACATCTGAGCATGCGAGTTTGTGCGGCCAGGAAGAAGCAAAAAAAAGCAGACAGAGGAAGCAAAACGTAGGTTGCCTCTGTAGCTTACTTGTCAATGGATGTAAAGGAGGGGTAAAAGTTCACACTTTAGGTGAACCTCAGGTTATTTCTAAAATTTCATTTATTTGGTAGCTGGAACCATAGCTCACATCCCTTAATGCTCGTCTTCCCAAACCAAGATGCCATACCCATACTTCTCTTTAGTCTCCACCCCAGAAATTAGGTCCCACCCTACTCCACTCACCTCCATTCCTGTAAAGGTGATTAGCAGAAACTGCGTGCGGGAGGTACCTGTACTGAACTGAAGGCTAACTGCCTCTGCAGAGACAGTTACAGATTGTGAGCAACTGCTTATACATGGGATTTCACCTTGTGGTTTGTATAATCACCTCTATACAGAAAATTACTTCAACATACCACCCATAAGCAGTTTCTTTGGTAACCACCAAACTGTCATAGGTAACAAACTTAGTTTATTTGGCAAGAGTCAACACTTGGATGTTTTGAAAAATCTGTTGATCACCAGAGTTGTACGTGCTAGGTACGTACGTATTTAACAAGTATTGCTATAGAAGCTGGTAATAACCATCTCTCCTCCAGTTATGTGTTGTTATTTGGAAACAAAGTGGAGGCATCACTATACAAATTCAGGAATTTGAATCCAGTGCTCTAGATACATTTCACTAGAGCTTAGAATCAAGCACAGGTCAGAGTTTCAAGAACTGTCTCCTCACATACCAGACAAGCTACAAGACACGCAACACAGCACTTCAGATCAGGCACTACAGTTAGGTAACCTGAACTTCGGTCATTAAGGCTCCCAGAGTTCAAGCACCCAAATAAATTTCTTGATCTAACACAGAGTGCCATATAAAATCAATATAAAAAAATAAGTCGGGAGTAAGTATGATACTTTATCATACGACTTATTTCAGGCAAACTTTCCCTTGCAGGCTAGCCCTATGGAGCTGCTGTAATCTGCAAATTAGCATTTCTGTTCTAACAATATTGTGTATTAATTTAGTTTGCATGTGTTCTATTCTAAACAAACTGAAGCTGCTTAAGAAAAGCTATTTATGACAAGACTTATACTACCTGAAAAAGGTTTACCACCTCAATAAAAAGACACAGTAAGTTCATTCAGGTTAATACAAAATAGAATGATAAGAGTAACAACTCTGCAGGTGCACTTACAGCACAATAGCTGCCACACTTGGGAGTTCTACAAATAGGGAAACCTCAGACATTTGATATTATTGCTCTCCACTTGTGATCTCAATTTAAACAGAAATTTTACAAATGGGCATCACTAAATGGAATTCTAACAGCATTCCAACTTTTTATTTGAAAGTTGGAAGGCCCTGGTTTGTGTAAAGCTAACAGTTACATTTTTTTCCCTTAGTTTTGTAACGTAAGAAAAAAACCCAAAACAATCCATCTTCAGTATTTCAGTTTTAACATTGTACTAGCTACACTTAGATGTAATATTGATCACAAAGTAGATTTCCTTAAAAACTTACAAGGCTTCTCTTAAAACTCTACTTTTAACAGCCTAAACCAACAAGAAGAGGCATTATTCCTAATCTACAAATATTCTAAAGGCAAACAAACCTGTAATTATTGTCCGAGATTAATAAGACATTAACTGTGCTGTTCTGTATAAATGAGTCTTCTAAATGAGCTTCCTACATCTTTTTTCCACATAGACATTTTCAAGTTCCCTTCCAGATAATAAGAAGCAGCAGTTTATATATACATAATTCCTTAAAAAAAAAGTCCCTGCTCTTTAGTTAATGCCTTTTCCTGAGTTTTACTTTTTCGATGTAAATTAGTTACTATCAGGCTAAGGGAAGAGAGTATGTCAAGAAACATCCAGTCCAATAAATCACTTCTTTGCTACTAAAAAATATCAACATTTTTGTGTTTCATTTCAATATAGACAAGGTGGTCCTGAATACTGTAGTGCTACAACAACAGCAGAACTTCTGAGATTATTTATCACCTCAGCATTACTCAAGGAAAGCCAGCGGAAACACCATACAAGTAAATTGCTGATTAACTCATTCACACTAATCCCTGATGTAGCATGCAACTGGAAGAACATAAAATTTGCTCCATACTGTTGGTGAAAAGATATTACTGAAACTATTCATATCTACATACCCCTTGTACTTGCACCTGAGAGACACAGTTATCAAGGAAGGAGGTTAATTGCACTTCTTTCAATTTAGTTCCTTGGTATAGAATGAAGATTTGACTGCAACATGAATAAGCAGGACAAAATACACATGTATGTACACACATACAAACACAGAGAGGTTTAGTAACTACCAGAAATAGAAAACAGGATTATACTGAAATTTCTGCCATGCTGTTGCTCCTCCCTGATCTCTAAACTAGGTTCTATTTTAACCTCATCTGTAAGTGTCTGACAGCTGCAAACTATTTCTAATATAATTTCATTTTTATTTCTCACCATTCCAGGTTATTCACTATTCTCCACAATCTTAGTACATTTGACAGATCAGTATACAGCTAAAGGCCATTAAAAATCAGGTTTCCATAAATTCTATTATTTGTTTTTAGTGAAGATTATCTTCTTGAGTGTTGCCTCTTACTATTTTGACTGAACCCCAGCATTTTCTTCAGGACTTATAGGCACTATTTAAAGACAGTCACCTTTTCCTTACCCATAAGTAGATTAGTTAATTGGAGTTTACATGGTGTGGCTGCCTGCATTGCTGTCTCCCGCATGACGGAGCAAACCCTGTCTTTCACTACAGTGTGCCTCCTTTCTAAAGGCTTTTGAACACAGCTTTAGAAGATGCAGGAACCATATACAGTCTTAACATGTTCAGCCTCCATACCTTGCATTAATCATGTTTTCTCACCTTACCCTTCCATTAATCCAGGTAATTAAGAGATGATTGCAAACAGAACTTATCTTTATGCATGCATCAGACCAAACTCCAAACCCCTAGAGGAAGGTACCTGATCTACTTGCACCCATCAGTTTTCAAGCAAATGGGAATTCACTGGCAGCCATCCAAAAATGACCAATAAAAAAAAAAATGGTACTTTTCCCTTTTCTTCAGAACAGCCTCAAAACTGACATATCAAAATCAATAGTATCACATCTGCCTCAACTACCTATTTGCACTAAAGATTTGTAGTGTTTAAATAATTGGTCTTTTTTAACAGCAAAAAGGCGACTTTATTTCATCTATTTTCTAACGCATTTAAAAACAGTAACAAAACATACAGAAAGGTTGGAAGAAAAATCCCTCTCTGTTTATACTGTTGATGTAAAGTTCTGTGGCTAACCACATTTCTCACCTAGCAGAGTTCTAGCACTGTGGAGTCCAAACTTTTGACTGTTTCATGTTACATTGGTTTTCACTTCCGGTGTATGCTTTAAGCTTCCCACCTCTTTCTTCAGGACATTGAGTAAAGTTCTAGAACTATCCAAAATCTTCATGTAAGCAGCTTCAGTTTCAGCAAGAATTGCATCAAGCTCATTCCGTGAAGCTACCTTTTGGGCCAGGTTTTCACATACACACTCCAGCTGTTCACTCAGGATCTGGATTTCATGCTGGAGTCTATTTTTTTCCTCTTCCGCTTGCTGGATTTGCTTGTTCAGTTCTTCTTTTTGCATACACAAGTCTTCAATGCATTTCACTAGCTCATTATTGTAACCCTGAAGAACAGCTCCCTGCTGAGTCATCCTCCCAAAACTCTTCCACTGCTCCCCGAAGTCCCCGCTCTGCAACAGCTTTCTGCACTCTAAAAAGCCAAACCAAAAACCACACAACAAATAAAAAGAAGAAAAATTCTGTAAGACAGTTACCATGAACAATGCTATGCTATCACAGATGGAGGTTAACATGCCACGTATGTCTTCCTTTTCCAGGAAGGGGACCAGACAAAATGGGGTATCTACACCTTTACCGAAAGCTGGTCTCTCCTATGATACCTTAACGGCAATATCAAAATACTTCTGTTTTGTCAAACCTTAATACCATTCTGAACAGAATGATACCTCATACTTCAAGGATTTAGTCAGAGATAACTAAACGACCCTTTCCCCAAAGACGCCTCAGCAGCCACCGCCACCATCCCCTCGACCTCTGATGAAGGGGATCTTCCTCGCACACTGAGAGCCAGCCACCGCTTGCCTCAAAATAGCCGGGGCCACCCGGACCACACCGATCTGCCGCTGGTGCCTCCTCACGAGCACCGAAACGGCAGTTTCCCGCGCCCCGAGGCACGTACGAGCTGCCTGCTCACCGGAGGCAGCTCTTAGCGCCCCTCACCCACCGTTCCCCCGCTCCCTCCCGCGCCTGGGCCCGAACCACTCTACCGCCGGCGTCTCGCTCCCTCAGAGGGCTGCGGCAGCCCGACGACGATTCCGCAAGGTCCGGGAACAGGGCCCCGCCATCACGGATCTGGAGAAGACGGCGCCAGCGCCACAGGGGCCTGGCGGCTGGGCGTGATCCGCCCGGCCACCACCCCAGGGACATTTTAACAACCTCCTCACCGCTAAGCGCTTCCTCGCAGAAGACGAGCAGTACACAAAATGGTTCCTGCCTATACATCAACCGCCTGGGCGGAAAGGGAGGATGAGGTAGGTAAGAGCAGACGTTCCACGTTCTTATCTCACACCCGGACGCCGCTCTCCCCGCCCTCGCTGCTTCTCTCGCAATTCTCCCTATTGCCCCCACCTGCCTGGCGTTCCCGCCCTGCTGGCTCCCACCGAGAAAGCTGGCTCGCCCAACGTAGCCCTCCTCCCTCTTGGCCAGCCCGTGCGGGAAAGCGGCGGGCGGCGAGGCACGGCCCTGCCGACAGCGCGACCCCAGGCTCCTTCAGCCAATCAGCCGGGCGCGCCCGGCCAACGGCTGCTCCGACCGGCAGTGCCTCGGAGGCGCTGGGTGAGGGGTCACGGAAATACCCGAGCGTTTCCGAATAGAGCGCCACCCTGACGGGAGCGTGAAAACATCTCTACGGAAATAACCGATGTTTTCCGAAGACAGGTAGTGTTCGGGAGAGGACGACGAGGCGGGCCGCCCGGGGGGAGGAGGAGGAGGGAGGGAGGAGAGTTACGGAACGAGACGATGTTTGCCGAAAGGAGAGATTGAAGGGCGTTGGGCTCGGCGGAGGTAGCCGATGTTTTCCGAAGGCAGAGTCGCCCGAGAGCAAAGGGGACAGAGGGGACGGAGCGTGTCGGAAAGAGCCGAAAAGAGCCGACGTTAACCGAGCGCGGCGTCGCCCGAGTTTCCCGGATGTAGTTGGAGGAGCAGCAGCGGCGGCGGCGGCGGGCGCAGCGGGGGGAGGAGGCAGCCGCGGCGGCAGCAGCGGCACCGGTGGTGGAGACGACGGCGGCGTTGGAGTCCGTGCTCCCGGAGTGTCTCAGCGCGCGCGGGGCCGAGTTGCTGGCGTCTCCCCTCTTGTTGTGCGCGGAGGAGATGGGCCCGTGAGCGCTGCTCCCAGCCGAGCTGCCTGAGCCGCCCCCTCCCTCCCTTCCCCCTTCCCTGCCCCCGGTCGGCGGCGAGGCGGAGCGCTGCGTCCCCCTCCTCCCCCCTCGGCGCCTGTGGCCCGGCCGCGGCCGTCCCCTCCTGGTCCCCTCACACTCACACACACAGGCCGGGCATTGATGGTAATGTATGCGAGGAAACAGCAGAGACTCAGTGATGGGTAAATCCCTTCTTCCTCCTTCTCTGGCCCCTGGCCCCGCGGGGTCTCCCCCCTCCCCTCCGCCATGTTTGGGCCCCCTTTCCCGGCGGCCGGTAACGGTTGTTCGCTAACGTCTCTTTCTCTCGCTTTCTCTTTAGCTGTCACGACCGCAGGGGGGACTCGCAGCCCTACCAGGTACCTCAAGCGCCGGCCGCTAGGCCCAGGAGGAGGAGCAGGGGAGGAGAAGGGGGGGGGAGCTACTCCAGCGGAGGCTTAGGCCGCCGCTGCAGGCCGCGGTGCCACAGACGCCTAGGTCCCGTCCCTCGACGCCGTTTCGAGCCCGGGGGGAGCAAAAGCGGGGGGCGGTGGCAGCAGCGCGCGGAAGGAACGGGGCTCCGGCGCTTTTCTGAAGCCTGCGGCGCCGGGGCGAGGAGGAGAGGCCTAGTGCGACCGGTGTAGAGCTTGGGCCTAGGAGTAGGAGAGGGTACGGTACGAGGGGCGGGAGAGCGAGCCGGGGTCACTTGCAGTGGAGTGGAGATCCAGGGGGAGGTGAGTGTTTTCCTTTCAAAAACAAAAGGCATCTTGTTCTTCCCCCACCCCCCTTCCCCAAGTCCTTTTTTCTCCCCAAAACTGCTGCTGTGCGTTGTAACCTGAGCAGGGCACGGTTTTAGATCCTGAATAACTGGGCTTGCTAGTAAGGCTTAATTTCTGAAGTTGCCAGCTGCTAGGTATGTTCAGAATCTGTCAAATCCTTAAATTACTGACAATAACCTCAGTTCCTGTGAGATGACTACTGTACTTCTCTGCTGTGTCTACTGAAAAAAAATCCAGCAGGTCTCAGAGTGTGAATGTGAGGAATGCCGTATACTATGATATTGCTTTCCTCAGGGCACAGAATTGAACTGTTTTATTACATTTTGCTTTATTCCTACTACTGTGAAGTGTAATCTGACAGTCCAAGGCAGCTGACAGTGACGGTTTGTGCAAACGTAAACACTTGCCTCTCAGAAACTCATACTGCAAAAATCAAGCTAGTTAAAATGAGGCAGAACGTGTAATTTTGGTAAATACTTCAGAATGAATTGTCACTTTACATGTTGTGTGCCCCCAGAATTCTATTTTTTTTTCTGTTACATCTGCTACAGGGTTGCTAGGACTGAAGAAAATGTCACTGAAGTTCATGGTAGTAGTTAAACCGAATGGCCTTGACTACAGTATAGAGAACATACTCAAAATTTTCACTGATGCAGTGCAGCTTTCTGTTTGTATTCTTGATAGCAGGTAGAGACTTGTGCTTCTCCCAGAACTGCAGAAGTGCTGTGGCCCATGTATTCTGAAAGTCTGTAGTCCAGCAGTGAAAAGCTGAGAAGTAACTTTTTTCTTAATGGCAAGTGTTTATGTAGAATGTAATAGTGGGAAAAAATGGTTTGAGTTCTAATTACAGAACTTGTTGCTTTAATGGAGGTAATTAAAATTACTAAAAAACTAATGCTGATTTTTTTAAATAGAAAATGAAAGTTAACTTTAAACAGGGTTTTGGAAAGATCTAAAATTTAGAAATGACATTTTAACATCAGCTTTGTAACCTCTTATCTAATGTAAATGTCTATTCTCTTGTGATCTGTTACAGGCTCTTAAATACTCATCCAAGAGTCACCCCAGTGGTGGTGATCACCGTCATGACAAGATGCGAGACACCACAGACCCTTCACCACCAAATAAAATGTTGCGGCGCTCTGACAGCCCTGAAAACAAATATGGTGACAACACAGGGCACAGTAAAGCAAAAAGTGTGCATACTCACAGAGTTAGAGAGAGGGATGGTGGTGAGTTATCTTTAATAAACCTTTATTTAACCAATTACTGATTTCTCATAAATAATAAAATTTAGCCATTATCACTTAGGTGATGAGAGTGTTTTGCTGTATCTGCCTTGTAACATTCTTGGAAGGCTCAGTGCAACCGAAGTTCAGATTTTATTGGAAATATTAGGCATTGTAATACCTATTTTTTTTTATTTTTACAGATACAGTAGTTTCACTTATAACCACAAAGACTAAATAAACTTTTCTCTCCTTATTTTTTTGAATGATATGTCTGAATTTAGGCATACTGCAACATTTAATAACCTGAATTAGTATTCTGTATTTTTCACTAACAATAAATATTGGCTGGTTTAGAGCCTTTTTTAATAACTATATTGTGGTGTTATACTGTGTAGTTACATGCTTTATAGACCCTCATAAGAAATGAAAAATAGTTTCTTCATATTTAGTTGTTTTGTAGAACTCGGCAATCAGAAGACAGTAATCAAAGGTAGCACTTACTAGAGCCTTTCTTGGCAGGAGTGTTTGCAGTCAAGGCAGTCTCTTGTGTTTTTACAGGATATTATATAGAGTAGTAATATCATCAGTGTTTTTTAATTGATGTTATTTTCTATCCCCGCTTCCTAGAGAAAGGAAAGTGGGGGGTTTTACATTTAATAAAAAGTGGTAACAGTTGCAGTTTAGAAAATTCCAGTTACTGACTGAATTTGAAGCATGTTTGCCATTTTATAAATACTGTATTTGGTTTTCATATAGAATTTTAAAATTAAGTGTGCAAGGGGAGAACTTAAAGCTTTAAATCAGTGCTTCTTCTCTATAAAGTTAACAGCTTTAATCTACAGATACATTTATGGCAACACAGTTTTTCACTTGTTATAATAGCTAGAATATCTGTAAGTATGGTTTAGGAAATACTAGTTCCAAACTGCAAATGTGTTTATGGGATTGAAGTGTTCTTACAATTCCTGTTTGTTTTTCCTTCTTTGGATTAATACAGAGGCTCTGTAGACCACTGATAATGTCATATAATTGTGTAGGTGGACTATGAAAACATGCATCTTTTATTGGTACACTGATTTTCATTATATGTAGTGATAGGACAAGGGGTAATGGCTTTAAACTGACAGAGGGTAAATTGAGATTAGATAGAAGAAACAAGTTTTTTACTTGTAATGGGCTGTGACCCTGGAACAAGTTGCCCAAGGAAGCTGTGGGTGCCCCATCCCTGGAAGTGTTCAGGGCCAGATTGGATCTGGTCTAGTGGACCATGTCCCTGCCCATGGCAAGGGGGTTGGAACTAGATGTTATTACAGGTTCCTTTCAACCCAAACCTTGCTATGATATCTGATCATACTTGAAAGTATAGTAATCTTAGAATTAAATGTGTGTGCAAGGCTAGTAGGCTGCTATTCTGTGCTACTTTTCAGGACACACAGGTGTCCTGTCATTTCCTGTTCGTAAGTCTAAAGATGCTTGTCCTATATACTCTTGCAATTCTGCTTAGTTTTGCTACAGTCGGGAGAGTATTTGCTTATTTGTGTACTGGAATCGTTTTTAAGATAGGAAAGACATTCTGAAGTTCTCACTGAGCCCAGCTGGATGCAATAGTTGGGGAATGACCTGAAGCATGGATATGTACAATTACAATAAAGGAATATGAATTATGTGGTTTGTAAGTGAAAGGAGCACTGTGCCACTGTACTTTCTTCCTCAGACTGTTAACACAGTGGAAAATTTCATTTATTCTGATCCAAAAGTGGTCCTTTGCACATCATATGTTAATAGACTGGGAGAAGGAAGCAGTCTTCAACAGTCTGAGGAAGATTACTAATTTTTGAAAGATGAACATTTGCAATTTTTAATGGAAAGTGATTTTGTGTGTGTGGTGGTGGTAAGGTTAGTTTGGGCCCCAGTTTCAGCTTTTAAAACATATATTCAAAACAACTAAAGCTGCATCAAGTCCTGTGTATTTTATGTAGTAAACCAAAGCTAAGCAGCCATGAGGAGAAGGATATCTGCATTGTCTTTGATTCACTGAATCTTTCTGGCAATTGAAGGTAGGTGTTAGAATATAGGAGAAATACGGAGTTTGGTAGACATTTCCTTATTGCTAGTATGCAGAAGACATCATAATATACTGTGTTTTCTGTCTACTGACTTACA